TGTAGATATTGCTTTTTCTCTTATCAAAGAGATTAACTTAGCCATCTCTGCAAGTTCCATCATCTTTACCAACTTAAACTTTTCGAAGGTAAGAATCCGGGTTGCATATTTAATATGGAAAAAGATACAATTTGTTCAAACATCAAAAACTTTATTTTAATGGGAAGACAAGGGTAGGGAATCCACACAGTTTAAGAGGGGGAAAAACCTTCCAAATGTCAGTTTGGCTATCAGTGTAAGGTCCAATGGTCAACTGAAAAAAATATAAGGAACTGGATCATAAAGAATTTTTAGAATAAGCAGAGCATGGGATTTTATCATGCTAAAGATTTCCTTTCCCTGATATATGCAGATTTGTTCTTTGGCATAGTACCACTTTTAAATTTAGGTTACAGTTACACTGTAAAAATACAGTGGGGTATTTTTTTAGAATTTGATGGAAGTAACTATTTTCTATGACTGCAGGATAAACTGCAATCCAAGGACGTATGCAACCCTAGAATTCTTCTCATTTTCTTCTTGCAGCTGTCCTGCTGAATTCTGGTTTCTTGCCATTTTGAAGTGGAAAGTCATACAAATTGAAAGTTTAAAATAATTGTTTTAAAGCCCCTCTGCCAAAAGAGAAAAATAAAATCTTTGCCCTGCCCATGTGTATGATATGACTCCATCTACTTTGCAACATTACTACATCCTTGGCAATTGTAGTTCCTGCTAACAGTACTAAATACAGCCCATTCTGATCAAAATGTTGCCCATCCTGCTTTGGAGAGAGCCACCAAACCCTCTGGCTTTAATTTGGCCTTTTGCTATTCTGACTGCAAATTGGAACTTGGACAGTTTTGCCTCCTCACCCCCCTCTTGCGCAAAAGCAGTGAAAGATTTTTGGACTCTTTATGCAAATTCTGTGAGATTGCAGCCTAGAATAACTCTTGGTGGGGGGTGGGAGAGGGTAGTGTCTGGGTCTTGGCTAGCTTACACCATAAGCAGAGCCAAGTAGGCAGACCACACCACACCACCACCACCGGGCGTGGAGGTATAGCAATGGTAAGACTTCACCTTATGGTTCCTGCCTGTTATTTTAAGAGAATGTTCCTTTGAAAAATGGAAACACAATAACCTGAATTGCTAGGGAGAAGTTCCTTTTATGTTTTGCAAAAGGTTGATAGCGTACCAGTGAGCTTCTTTAACTTCACTAGTATACCAGTTGCTCACTTCCCCACCCTGTGACACCTGCTTCTTTATTTGCTGAACATAAAACACAATGATACATTTCTTTGCCAAGTGCCAGAAGGGCCTGAAGCAAAGACAATTGCAGCGGGGTGGATCATGCTAGGAAGGAAAGGGTTTTTTTAACCATCCATTGGAGATGACAAGATAGTGATTTTCTGGAGGGGGAAACCTAGCCCTACAAAAACATTAGCCAAGGCCAATTCATCTGAAAGTTGGGTGTTGGCCAGGGTCAGGGCAAGGTATGTTTCTTCTGGAGCAGGGGAAGATCAATGTTACTTCTGAATTCCATTTACAAGTACCTAATTTAATATTTGAAATTGAGAGACAATTCAGTGATGATTATTAATGTGGCTGAATGCAAGAATTATTACACACACATATTAAGATACACATCCTCACATACATATTTACAGTATTTAAATTTTGTTAAAAGTACATTCACATACATTACATTAATTTAAGTTTTTTTCCTTGCCCTGCCCAGGTTTTTTTTTTCTTTTTCTTTTTCCCCTAGCCCCACTCAAAAGCTAAGTATAGGCCTTGGCCTGAAAAGATGTTTTGCCCTTGATGCAGCCCAACTGAGAGTAGCTCTCCAAAGCTTCCAATGATCTTTCTAGCTATGCTGTCTGTGGTCCTTTTTCATCAGATACCAGATTGAAGTTCTAAGATTCTGCATCAACAGTGCATATACCCTACAGTGAAAATACCTATCTTGGCCATGTGCTGTGTGTATGGTTCTTGTTGCACCTAGACACTCTTGGATGAGACTGATTTAATTGGATATATTTCAAGCCAGAGCTTAGCCCAGAACAGCTCTGGCCAGCCTGATGAAGAATCTATGTGGGAGAATGATCCTCTTTTGTCATGGAGATCTCAGTAGTGCTTGGTCCCATTAACGATGACCTCTTGAAAGACTGTGTGTTCTTGTAATGTAATGCTGGGGAACTTAAAGGGGAGATGCAATGTGATGTGCTGCCAGGCTCTGTTTGGGCCCCCGCCATACTATTTGGTCACATATGAAACCATGGAATGAGGTCATCCATGACTATGTTTGTCTGGTACAGGTAGACCCCAGTTTAAGAACGAGTTCCATTCCCAAAGTCTGTCGTTAAATCAAATTTGTATATAAGCCAGAACAGTATTATTATATAATACTATATAAATAGTATTGTGTAATTAACTCAAACCATTGTGTATTTAACTTGAATCATTGTGTATTTAACTCAAATTTTGCTACAGTAGGCTCCATTCTTAACTATGGGTCATCTATAAACTGTCATTGTGTATTTAACTCAAATTTTGCTACAGTAGGCTCCATTCTTAACTATGGGTCATCTATAAACTGTCATTGTGTATTTAACTCAAATTTTGCTACAGTAGGCTCCATTCTTAACTATGGGTCATCTATAAACTGTTAACCTGGGGGCCTACCTGTATTCACAGTAACCATCCTTTTTTCTCTATTTTTCCTCATATTCTGGTGATGCACTAAACCTGCTCTCTAGTGAATAAGTGTTGCTTTATAGGTGTAATATTTAAACATTTTTGTTTAATGTATATTATTAAAACATAAATTATTAGTAGATGCAACCCCCTCAGAAAGCTTTTCTGAGGCAAAGTCAGAGTGACATTTCCACTTGCATAAATAAAAAAGCCACAGACACTTTTATCCCATCTTCAAAAATACGTCAATAGCAGAAAATGCAGAACTCTCTTTTATACCTTCTCTACTCTGTCAAAAATGATACAAAAGCTATCATAAGGCCACACATTTGGCCAGTTGGAATTATCTAGTTTATTTATTTATTTCTCACAGCCCCCACCTAGCGCTAGCCTAGCAGTGGGGATCCAGCCTGAGTATTTGAAAATGTGCCTTTTTTGCACCTGAAAGGGGATCAATGCCTATTTTGTGCCTCCTCCCTTGAGTATGTGTAAGCCATCCAGCCCAGCAGTCACTGGAATAGGGAGAAAGGGTACCAATGCAGTCCTCTTACCCAGAAAGCCTTTAGTCCAGATTAAATTTAAAGGTCCAGGCCCCTTGAAGCATATTGTGCTCCAAAATGATAAGGCAAAATGTTCTGTGGGGAGCTGGGGCGAGACAAGCAGCAGATCAGAGTGAAATCACTGGGTGTCTATAAGCAGGTGCTGCTTGGAACTTCCTGTGTTCTCAGCCACAGCTGTTCAAGAACCTGGCACACTAAATAAATGTGCTGGTGTGCCCCCTCCCTGGGAGAACCTTTGGCTTGCAGCAGAGAGAGCTGGGAAACAGCGCAATGCAGGCAGCCGTTGTAGGCAAGGCCCGCTTGGCTGTGCTTATTCCACATTACGTCACCCTTTGCTCAGCAACAGAAGTCTGCTCTATGCTGGGGTGGGAGGAGCTGCGTGCATGTGAGCTTAGTCCCAGCAACTGCAGAAGGGTTGGGCTGAGCTCGACTGAATTACGTCCACTCAAAAAGTTGCAGCAGTTAAATCCTCTAACTCTTATTCTGGGAGTGGTGGTGAGTTAATCTTTCTGTAACCTCACCATTTTTTATTATGGCACAGCCACAGTGATGCTTTGGGGGCAGGTCTGTTGGCTTTATCATGCACCCATTCAAGGCACAGAAATATAGGGCAGTGTGAGAGGTGCGATTTTGTACCTCTGAAGGAGAAAAACGATAGCTTATATACCCAGTCCCTTACAACTTGCCAATATTTATACTTCAGCACAAAGCAAAAGGAAACGTTCACTTTCCAAGCTTATGTGCATGGAAGGGAGGCTTGGAAGCAGCTAAGGTCGGCCAAAGTGCCTCTAAATTTGGTAGATGAACAGATAAAGTTGCCTTATATTCAAATCAGGGGCCTGATAGTCTGAACCTATCCTGTTCAGAACAGAGAGGGACTCTTTGTAACTTTTTTTCTATTCATGCAAACTTGGAAATCTGTAAATTTGGAATGGAAATCTTGGGGAGATAGATATAGCCATCGCAGGACTCCCATGTCTTCTCCTTCTTCCCAGTTCCCCCCTCCCTCTGCCGCCCTTCCCCATCTAGGCTCTTGTTGGGTTCTGAGTTGCCTGCAGAGAGAGACTCAGTTTCTGAGTTAGCAGTTTGTTACAACTGCAGGATTTGATCTGGACTGGGACTCCAGAACAAAAGTGGGGGTTGTGGAGTGGGAAGAGGTCTAAAGCTGGCCATTCCTGCTGCTGACTAAGGTAGACTTCCACTGGGAAAGAACCCCCCTTTAGATCAGGGATTGACAACTGGAGCTTCCAGAGTCTCATGAATCTCCTTTGTCTCCTTTGAGATCTAAATGCAACTGCTGAAAAGCAGTGGTCCTCTTTGTCTACCATTTTCAAATGATCATTTCAAAAAAACAAAACAAAACAGAGCATATGTAAATGCTCTTATTTGCAGTCCCTATCTTCAGGTAGGGTTAAGTGGCTAAAATCCTGCTCAGCTGCTGCTTCCTGCTGCTGGTTATGTTTGTACAGCCCACTGATGCACAAACTGGCCAACCACGTTTTATTCTATAACCCAGCCCTGTGATCAGTTTATTATTCAGTGTGTTGTGCAAATTAAACACAAATGGTTTAGTTTAATTATAGCTCCATTGATCATAGGTATGCACATTGTGTAAACACTGCAGGGACCCTCGCTGTGGAGTTTAATTTGCCCCAGAGCTCACTGGGAAATTCCTCAGACACCTTCGTGATGGGCTGTCTGATTGCTATAAATGCCAGGTTTCCTCTCTGGTGCACGTGAAGGATAACCAGAGTGATCAAATATATGCCACATCGTTAACCAGATAACCTGCAAGCAGGATCAGAACACAGATCTTTAGAATGTGACATCCAAGCTGCCATTAAGCTTGCCTGCATTTGTTCGTTTGCAGATTACTTGTACAGCAACCTGCAATTGTTACACTAAATTTTAAAAGTAATCTGCAATATTCTTGTACAGACTTGAATGCATTTTTATGTGTGGTAATTTAGCATTTGAGTGTTTCCTTGTGTTTATACATGCATAAGTGGGGAAATGTGGATGTTTCGTGCCCCCAAGACATTGTTTGCAGCAACTTATTCCTTTCAATCTCAGCCAACATCCATGAGACCAACTCAGAGTTACATTTTGCTGTGGGGGTGTATGCCCTGAAACCCTGACTGGAATAAACGATCCCCATTGCCACCATTTTGGCAGGGAGGCTGAAGGAGGGTGGAGTTCATTTCAGCCCATATGTTTGCTGTATGTGTTTATTGGATATGGTGGTATGATTTCTGAATTTGTCACATAAAAGTGTCTTGAGACTGAAAAAGCCTACAAATAAAGAGAAAGGTAGACAGCATATCCTTACAAGGAAATGGTTCGGGTTGTTTTTCCATTAAGCTGCTCAGGAAGATTGTGCGCTTGACACAAAAACTGGCAATCTGTATTTCTAGCCTTAGGTGGTCACGCAAAGTCCTAACTTCACTAATTCTTTTTCCTAATCTAGGTTAATAAAGAAAAATTGAAGCATAGCTTCAGCCTCAAATCATCCAGGAAAAAAAAATGTAGAGATCAAAATGAGAAATAGAATCTGATCTGGAGGATATATTACATAAACTAACAATCTATGCAAAATTACACTAGGCTTCCACAGTGAAATACCTTTTCATGAGAAAAACTAGGCTGCTCAGCTCAAAACAAGCCAAGAGAAATGCCATTGAAGGATTGACTGTCTGGGCAGGTTCCAGAGGCAGTTTATAAAATATACAGATGGTTTCTACAGCTGTCAGGTTCAGCTGCTATTCCTCCCCTTTGCCTGTTTTGAAATTATGCCAGCAAGAATACCTGGTTACTTTGTTCAAGATCTTTGCTCCCCACCTAGGAAGTGGAGATCAGCGTAACTGGAACTCGATCCAGGAAGCTTTTCATCCTAATACTAAATATTGTAGTGTAGAAGTGTGATTTATCAACCAGGAATATGTACAGTATAGTCTCTTTAAGATTTAGGTGTCCATAATCCTTCCATTGTGCCTAGAAATTTCCTTCATGGAACTTAAATCATGTTGCTGGAAGCTCAAATGGTACTGGGATAGGGATTCATATGGGTCCTTACATTTCAACCAGATGGGAAGCACACGTGTTCTTCCCCACCAAGATACCACCCCTAAGTTCTCCATATCAAACCTGTGGGATGGTTTGCCTCTTCCCAAATCCTGTCCCCAGTTGCAAACTTCTTGTTTATGTGCAGGACAAAATGGAAGATAGTCGCTTCCCACAGTATCTTGCAGAGAAGGGCAGTAAGGACAGAGGTTGGGTCAGTCTCCTTTCCCAAGCTTTACCTACTGGCATTGTTTGGCCTAGCACAGATGGGGATAGATTATCTGGGGCTTGGATCAAATTCTTCATATTCCTGAAACTATTTTTTGGCTATTCTGGCCAGATGTACTGCTCAGCAAAAAGTAGCATTCTGATTCACAGTTGTGTGTCTTCACCAGGATTAAATGATATTTTTATACTGACCTGGCTTTTATCTCCAAAGCGAACACAAGCTTTCATAAGAAAACACCCACTGTTGTCTTCAAACCTGGGATGTCTGCAAAGAGATGTTGACAGAAGCTTGACCTATATTTTATTTAGATAGGGCAGCTTCAGTTAGGATTCAGGAAGTTTGAAGCCTTGATTCCTAGCATGATAGTAATTGCAAGGGGAGGGAGATACAATTTCACAATAGCAGAATACATATTTCTTTAAGATACCTGATTTGGGCATTATTAACACATTCTGGCATGCTTTCAGAGAATACATTAATTGAACAAATGTTTGGTTCAGCAATATTCTCTTCCCAACATTCACTGACTCTTATCAAAGTGATGTGCTCTCATTTGCTGGGAGAGTTTGGAAGTGATTTCATATTTCCTAATTTTGTCTGATTAGAGGCCAACCTTCATGTGTTGTTTTTATCCAACCCAAATATTCTAGCCCCAGGGAAAAGCATGAGATCTTTCTTATATTCTCTTATTGATTTATGGTCATATGCCAAAGAAATATGTCTCCAAAAGGTCCTTGTGCCCAGTTTTGTGTATTCCAGAAGACCTAGAATTCATCAGGCCTATAGCTTGTCAAACATATAGGCAAGGATTTATTTGTCCAGTCTAGTTAATTGTAGTTTTAACCTTTTCAGAAGTCATATTTATTAGTAGGGTTAAGGTTAAGGGTTTCCATTTCCTCTTCTAGTTTAATCTCAGACAACATGAGAAATCTCTGCTCAGCATCTTTATGAATGTCTTGCACTTTCGAAAATAAGCTTGTTGGCTGGGGATTCTGGGAGTTAACACTTCAAATCCATCCAGAGGGTGCCAGGTTGGGGAATACCGTTATTCAGTACTCTCTGAGAGGCCCAGCATATCAAAATTTTCCTTTCCCAGTGATATCTTTGAAATGGATGAATTTCCAAGGCTGATTTAAACTAACTAGTTAAAATCTCAGACTGCACATTTCACAGGCAATTTCTTAAAGATTCTTATAAATAAGCAATCTCTGCCATAATTGTAAATTGTGCTTCATAAAAAAACCTTTTGAAATGTTTGCATTGTTGGAACTATGTTTCTGTAAAAACTAGAAAGGAAATTATTACCAAAAAAAGAAAAGATGAACAAAAATGAGAGCCAGTGTTGGACTATCACTAGGGAGATTCTAGCCCACTCTGAGCTTTGGAACTTCACTGGGTGACTTTGGGCCAGTCAATTTCAGATCAACCTACTTCACAGAGTTATGGGGGAAATGGGAGGAAGAAATGCTCAAGCTCCTGAGCAAAAGGTGGGATAGAAATCGAATAAATACAGACAAACAGTGATTCCTAAGACAGCTTCTAGTTGCATGGAACTCTAGAGGGTTCCATTTTTCAGTTTGTAGCACTTGGTGGCAGGCTTCTATGTACCTATCATAGGTATCAAGGACATTCTTGTCTCATAACAAAGGAGCAGAATACTCAGCCCTTCAGGACCTTCCTGCTTCCAAGCTGCAAACTTAACCCTCAAGCACTTCTCTATTGCAGGTTGTGGAGCTGAGCTAAACCACATCATTTGATCACAGCAAGTTCCTTTTTACAACTCACAACAATGACTAGCAACAACAGGCTGATGAACGGTCTGGAATGTATTAGTCAGGTGGCAACCAAGAAGTAACTTTCAACTCTCATACTTTGTGCTATGCAAGGGTTTCTATTCCTTGAGCAGGTTCAACCCTGGAGCTTCTGATGTCACTTGAAGGAACTACCCTTCACCAGCAGAGATGAAAGAGTAGGGCTGTAGAGCTAGCAGATGCATTTTTGCGAGAATGTTAAGCTCTGCATCTTTTCTTTAGAACACAAGTTCATTGACTTCTGAAGTGGAAGCAAGTTTTTCTGGCCCAGAGCTTTTCATCGACTCTTTTCTCCATATTAAAAACAGAGAAATGGAGTCCTGAGCTAAAGTACCAGTAGTTCTAACAAATGAGACTTCGCACATTTGACAAAATCTCCCATAATATCCTTATCAGCAAAATGTTACAAAGAAGAGCTAGGCCCAGTGCTCAGTCTGTTTGTTAATGATTGTTAATGTCATCCTGGAAGGAAGATTTGAGACCCATAGGGCTGTCCCAAGTCCTGTGGGGTTTATGTCCTGTCTGTTCTGAGAACTCAAGGTGCTATATATGAGGGTGTCTCCTAATTTTATCCCCACATCAATCCTGAGAGGTAGGTTGTTTTGAGAAGGATTAGTTGGCTTGAAGTTACACACTGAGCTCTGTGGTGATGTTGAGATTTACACCTAAGTCCCTGTGATCCAAATCCAACATTTAAAAAACTTTATAACACTGACATTTATAAATTATTTAGGTAAGAATGTAAAGTGAACCTTACTGTCTGAGGCAGGGGGAAACTAATATCATAGAAGCAGTGAAAAAATTCAAAATATTCTCAACAGGCTGAAATATTGAGGCAGCCCCTCAACATGATGGCATTCAAGAGATAAATGCAAAGTCTTAGGTTCAAACAGAAAGATTATGTATGTATGTAATGGGGGATTCCAGCTTTGGAAATGGTACCTTTATGAAGAGTCTGGGAGTTCGAGTTGATCACATACTTGAATATGAGCTGTACTTAAAAAAAAAAAAAAAAGTAATTTAATCTTAAGGCATTGCTAGATGAAGTGTTTGGGCTGCCCTGGGATTGGTTGTGCCCCCCTTCAGCAGCTGAACCAATTCTACTTCCTGCTCTACTGCAGCACAAGAGGAATTGCTCTGAAGCTGGTTTTTAACTGGAAACACTTGAGTATTGTGAAATTTGTGAGTAGGCCATTTCCCCATTGAGGGATTCTTGACTTACCCCAGCCTCCCAACTCCTGAGCTTCAGTACTTTAGCAGGTCCTGTAAGGGGAATGCTGGCTTGACAGCTCCCCATCAATAGTCCAGGCAAGTAACTCTGTAGTGAAACTGACAAGTTCTCAGTTTCCTTCTTCCCTTCTACAATAGGCCAGCCATTCAGAAAGCTCCAGGTTACCCTGGTTTTTAATATTTCTCTTTTGTGTAGAGTGACCATGCAGGGATTTTCATGCTGCCATACATGCAGCGACTTGGGCAGTGATTTTTCACTCCTTGTTAGTATTTCTGAACAGGAAATTGTTTGCATTTTTCTGAAACAGAAAAATGTTTGCAGATCATTATCAAATGCTTTTGAGGGAGCGACATATGAAAGTGCATTTAGAAGGCATTTAACAGGATGCATTCCCAGGGCAGAAGGCAAAGCATTCAGGGCTCCACACAAGGACAGGCTACACAAAGGCAGGTGCTGGCCCCCAGAACTGCACCTCCTCTGCATGTTGAATGGGGAAGCCTGTAAGGCAGTGTTGTCCAAACTTGGCCACTTTAAGATGAGTGGACTTCAACTCCCAGAATTCCCCAGCCAGCCATTCAATTCTGGGAATTGAAGTCCACTCATCTTAAAGTGGCCAAGTTTGGACAACACTGCTGTAAGGCTTCACATATGCATGAATGTGAAAATAATTTTGATCGAGAGTCCTGAAAAGACCCATTTCCAGCTCGTTCCAAATCCTTTTATTCAACGGGGGAATGGAAGATAGATTGGAAGCAAAGCTGCGCATCTCTTTTCTCTCTTATTGACATTTCTAAATAAGGCTACAGTTCCCCCGTAATCTGCACTGGGTAAGTCAGGCTACACCTATATCTAGTTCAAGGCATTAGATTTTAAAGCAGATGGTGACAAATTGGAATGTTCTGAAACAACAAAGAATGGGATGGTGAGAGATGTGGAAGCTTATATGAGAAATGCCTGAAAGAGATGGCATGCTTATTCTTTTATTAGATTTATATGGTACCTTTTGTATTCCTGTAGTATGAAATACATACATACTGTTCCCTTTTCCTTGTTTTCCCCATAACCACCATATGAGGTAGGTTGGGCTAAGAAAGAGTGACTGGCCAAAAGTCATCCAATGAGCTTCCACTGCTGAGAACTAGAACCTGGGTCACCCTGCTCCTAGTCCTATACCTGAACCACTATACCCTGGTTAAGGGAAAACAAGGTAATCCACTATTAGAAGGGCTGCTGCCACAATGGAGACAATTTCTAGAATTTAGGACTAGAAACAAGTGGTAGGAACTGTAGAAAGTAGATTTCAGTTAAACAATAGAAGAAACTTCATGAAGGCAAGAGCCATCTGGCAATGCGGTGGAGAACCTACCACCTCCTGAGTTTTTCTTCCTTATTGGCACTAAAGCCAGAAAACCATCTGGCAAGGATACTGTAATAGTCTCCCAGGCAGAGGGTGGTTTTTTGATGTTAAGTGTCAAATACTTAAGGGCAACGTCTGGAGACTATCATGTACCACCCACTATCTGGGGAAGCATCAAAGGTGTCCAATCTCATAGGTTACATACACTCTGCTTGAAGAAGCCTTTGTAAACATGGAAGCAAGGTGATTTGGGATAAGGGAGGTCAAAAAGAACCTCCAATACATTTTTTCCTACTGGTAGTTAGCTTTGGAATTTATGAAGTTGTATAAAAGCATTGCACAGGGAGAATACCATTAATGATTAATGAAGATGTTGTAAAATCTGCACTATTATGTTAAGAATAGGGTTAATAAATAATGATGGCTCTCATCTCCACAGGAAAAAAAAATCATGGCAGCTTGTTCTTATCTCACAACTGGCCTGTCACACAGCTCACGCAGCTGTCATCAACAGCATCCTCCAAATGCAACCCCAGCTCAAGATCTGGCAGGTGAAGGGAAGAGAGGTTCCTATTGCTCGCCCCCACCCCCCAATTCCATCACTCAGTCATGCAGATACTCCTCCATACTCAGAGGCACCTGTTATTATTTAGGACTAGCATGAACAATCTGTGGGCCTTGTTCTTTCCATTAGTGCTTTGTAAGCAATTAGTTCAGACTTCCAGCAAGAACAGAATTGTTTCTTTTCCACCATGCTGCAGGTCAGGAAGGGAGGCTGTCAACCTTTGCCTTTGGCTTGGTGCTACCCATCATTGCCCCCCTTTGGAAAATGAAATCTTTGGCAGAAAAGAGAAAAAAAGGTTCCTAAACCCTAATTTTAAATGATACTGTTGAAAAGCTGCTGTCCCAAAATTGTGGGAATCTTCTTTTCTTAGAAAATAAGGAGACAGCAAATAATTGAGAAGCAAACATGGTTTGGCAAACTTGTAACCACTTCAGAGTGGACCCTCAATATGTTATGGTTACAGTCAAGTGAAGGAAAACAATTCTATAAGGAAGAACTGCCCCTTAATAAGATTTTGGGGGGGGGGGGGTATTTAGGGAAGGCAGTCTGTATAGTAAAAGGGTAAATGATGATGACTGGATACCTAAACTCAACAGAATTATTCATCCTGTTCCTTCCTCATATTCTATAGAACTTGGTAACTGACATTATCCCATCAAATTAGGATTAAAACTGGCACTGCTGCTACATGAGGGGAAATCTCACCTCTCCTTCCCTCCCATTACAGTAGTCAGGTCCTTTACATGAATGTTGAAGTTTCTTCTCTCAAAAGCCTTTTCTTCATTGAGTGAGAAATGTTTCCATGTCTGAGGACATCACTCCCAGGCTCTACTCATTTTGGCAAATAAAGACTTTGCTGGGGGCCAAATTTTTGCACAATTGTACTGTGATTCACTGTGACCTGAGATAACCTATGTCAAAATCCCAAACCACACTGAGCCTTTAAAAAGAGGAATGCCAGAACACCAGCTGCTGCTCAGCTTTGGCATATAAGGCCAGGACAATGGAGCTGCTGTATTCAAGCCCAGCATATAAACAATTGAGTCTTTTTTTTTTTTTTTTTGGCAGACAGGAAGCACAGACAGTCCCTATTAATCCTGTATGTGAATCATTCCCCTAGGCCAGAGGAACAGTGGCAGCAAGCCTGCCATTCCAGATGAAGAAAGTCATCCATAACAGTTCATGGCACAAGGAAGTTGCAAGAATTCTGATTTTTTTTGAGCCTTCAGTCCAGATGTGTGGGGCAGCCTTTCATTTCGTGGGAGATCAGGAGAAAGGTTCAATGGCTCTTCTTTTTTTAATCATGTTCCAGGCAATACAAGAGACCAGGTGCAAATGATGATCTACAGCAGTGTTCTTCAAACTTGGCAACTTTAAGGTGTGTGGACTCCCAGAATTCCCCAGCCAGCATGATCGACAGGATCCACAGGAACTAACTTGCCTGGTTGGGTTAGGATTATAACTCTCAGAATTCTCAGCCTCTATTCCATTCCATTCATGGAAATTCTGGTGGTCATGGCCCCAACATATCTGGAGAAGACCAGTTCAAAGGCAGTTTATCTGCAGCAGCACTCATACAAAACGTATGTCCCATTTGTCTGCTTCAAGAACTTGCATCACTAAAGCTTTAGGGTCTTTCACTTGCTCAAAAGAAGTCTTGAAAAGAAATATTTTTTGTAATATTTGATGACAGGGTCCTGACTTTTGGGGGCTAATGGTACTACTAGAATTTTGAAAGCATGTTATAGGTGCTTTTGCAAAATGGCTACTGTGGTTGGCATGGCTAGTTGCAAAATACTGAATATTAGAAAGTAAACTGGCAACATTGCTCACTGCCACCTCCTACAGTTCTAGTGGATGCTACCTACTACTCCAACTCACATCCCCCCCAAAAGCCCCAAGTTGCAGCCATCTATCCAGTGGCATCTGCACATGGAGAAAAACTAAAGCGGCATTGTGGTGTTGTAACCTAAGTCCTGGCCTCTGTGTATATGTGTTGTTGCTGCACACATGTGCAGAAGGGATGAAACTTCTGGTGTACTGCCATGATCCTACTTTCATCGTATTGATGAAAGCAGCAAATTCCAGTGGACACCCATGAATCCATTTTGTCTTTTCTTCATTTAGTTTTTGTTTTTGTTTTTTATTGTTAGTGTGCTTGTTGTTGTTCTAGTTGTATGGGACCCTGGGGTTATGAGGGCCAAGGACTAAAATTTTAAATTATTACTTTCTTAACATAGTTACTATATTTGAGTATTCCCTAAGGATGTTTTTAATTGCATTTTATTTTATGGTAAGCTGCCATGAGTTAGAATTATTTGGTGGCATCTAAATTTGACAGATAATACACTATTGTTATTTTATCTTCTAAGAATGTCTTTAGGACCCAAAAGTATTCTTGGGAATAATGACGGTGCTAGCTGTTACCATTTTGCTCCATGCCATTTATTGTTAATTCAAGAATCTTTTAAAAATTAGATTCAGGGGGAACCAAAAGTTCACGGAGCACCAAGAAAGGAGCCATTAAAGTATTGGAATAATTATGAAAGCCTGCAGCTTGAATTTTCCCCACTCCCATGGATCAAAAGCAGTCTAAAAATCCCTGCTCCAGGTACACCAGGCCCTCAGATGCACATGCTTCACCAGAGTCCTTAGGACCAGCTGGATAATTACAAAAATAGCTGTAGTACAGAAAGCTACCAGGTTCTGACTGAGCAAGAGTACATTTAGTCTAGAAAATGGTCATCCTCACCCCCAGTTTTGCCTTTGTAGATACATTAGGAGACAGGATCAAGCTCCCTATAATAAATCTTTCTAATTGCATGAAAATGTATTTCATGCAATGTTCATTAAATGTCTGTCTTGCCTTTTAGTAAAGGAGTTCAAGGTGGCATACATAGCTGTCCCATTTTCCCCCAGAACTATAACCCTGTGGGGTGAGCTGAGCTCATTCCATTTCTTTCCTTCTGGGCTGACAGTCAGCAGCTCTTATTTTGCTCCACTGATTTGGCCCAACTGATCTGCCAGGCTCCTTAATGAAGTCTAATGTACTTTGTTTTGTTCTCTCACACAGAGACACCACCGCCACACCCCCTGCCACATTCAAACCCATTTCCCCAAGGAATTCCTATGGCTCCACTCCCAAACCTCCTAATACTTATGTTTTGTTTCTTGATGTCCCAAAGCAGCATACAGGAGACTTCAGTTGCCAACAACTTCAGGTAAAGTTATCCCTCTGCAGTTACAACACACATCCCCAAAGAAATGAAACCTAAATCAAAAGATGGAACAGCAATGCATTCCCAATATTTGTTTTACAACATTAGAGGAACATACTACCTGTCAACTATCCTTTTCTTCTCCTCTCCAGGGGGAAAAAAAGCCAAAAGCATTCCTTCGGCCCTACCCTTCTGCACCATCACTGCATGAAAGGAGATGAAGAAACATGAATGGGGACTAGGAAGAAGTGGTCCTTGCCTATGATGCAGACATGGTCATTACAGGCTACCTGGTCTCCTGTACTTTCAGGAGACAAAAAAGACTTGTAGGTGTCATATGAGACAAATGAAGATAATGGCACTTATTATTGAAAACAAAAGCTCCAGCAGACACAACTTTTGAGCTTTCCAGCTTTCACCCTTGGTAGAGATAATAAAAACCATCACTTTCCAAAAGAGAATCAAGCCACTTTCATGGCAATCATCTCTGATGGTGGTGTCTCTTCCACAGCATCTGCCAAGTAGTGGAATGACCTCGTCAATGACTTCAGAGTGTCCAGTGCCCTGGGAGCTACTCAGTTGCCCAAAACTATCAGCCCCCCCTTCTCAATTGATCACATTTTTCATCTCAAATGACCACCGTTTCCTCTGACCCTTCTGTAACTCTTTTATTCCATGACTGTCCTCAAGCATGAGCACAAACATACACATGCACACATGCTGTAGGCATGGTCTGATTGCCACACACCACAGCTTCAAAAATGCCAGACACTTGGGTTGCCTGGACACCTACACATTTGAAACTAGCTCCGAAATAATAACTCTTAAGAGGGTTTGAAGTATTGTTGCCCCTAGTGCTACTCATAGGGATGTGTTCCTTTCTTTGGAGGATGTCTGCTACCTGAGCATTTCTGTGTCTTGTGCAACACTGGGCCATCTAGGCGCTTTCACACAGTGCTGAGCATTTGCAGGTTCAGGCAGATCCCTCCCTGCCCAACTCAGCAGCTTCTAGAGAGGCCTTAGTTTGCTCTGACCTACATCCTGGGGAACGTGGCCCTCGGTGCACAGACCTTCCATTCCCAGTTACTACACAAAGCGATATGGACAGGCAGTGCTATACTTCAGCCCCTCTGCAGTTGCGTCCACTCTCACATCACCGAGCAGCTCTTGGCCCGGTCTTTGCGGATCTCAGAGTCAGTCAACAAGTCCGTCCGTCCAGGCATCTGCGTGACCCGCTTCAGCCCTCGCTTTGAGTTGCTGCGCTTGAGGTGCTTGTGAATTCGATTGACTGAGGCCAGTGTGGTCACATGGAAAACGTCCCGGACGCTGTTCTCCGACACCTTGGAAGAGCATTCTACATATGCCACAGCACCCAACTGGCGGGCCAGCATGCTGCCCTGTATGGGGAAAGCACATTATTGCATTATGCCAGAATTCACCAACCTCCTTTTGCTTTCTTCCCCCTTAGTCTGGTAATTGCTTATTATGTTGCAATCAACTCCCATCTCCTCCCCCACATTCTGACAAAACACCTATCACCTTCTCAGACACTGTTACTCCGTGTGTTTCTTTCACATCACAGCTATTAGTTAATTTTAGTACTTTTCCTAGAAGGAGGGGATACAAGAGAGTCTTTTAAAAAATGGAGTGAGAGGCACTATGTCTAAAAGAGGGAGGGTGTGAAAAATGCTAGCATCTGAGGGTGCCAAGGTGGGAAAGAAGGTAAAAACAGGCTAGCATAGCTTTCCCGGCGGAAGGGCTGGGAATGCAACTGGGGTGTGGAGCAGAAGATTCCGCTGGTGGAATTAGCAGCAAAGGAGCCTTCAGCCCAAGAGCTTCATCTGTTTGGGCTCATATTGGGGTGGGTGGTGGTGGTGGCGGCATTCCTCCTCTTTCCCCTCTGCATCAGTTATCTGAGGGGGCTTTTGAACACACAGGGCTTTGCGAATCTAGGCTTAGCTTCCACACGCATAGGACAAGGGAGATTGCAGCACAGTTTTAAAAGGCATCAAGAGAAATCCAGGGAACATACCAGCTCAGGTAAATAAATTCATGTAAAATTAAAGCCGTCTCAGCTGGGAAGGGCACTTTCTCTTTATTAGCAGTTCTGAGCCTGCACTCTCTCATTTGCTTCAGTCACAGAGTGGCTCAGTCCTTTAGCCTACCCTGCAGAGAAGCACTTCTGCGTGTACGTATAAAAGGGAGAGGGAAAAAATCGGCAGAACATACACGTGCACGGCCATCTGTGGAGAGGTCCAAGGAGAGCAGGATGTCATGCAAACATCACGACTAATGTCATGTGGCCTTTGTCAGATGTCACGATGCTAATACGTAATCTGGTTTGTTCCAGATGCTGTTGCACGTACACATGTATGTGTAACATTAAGATAGAATAGGACATGTTCTTTTCCTCTACATATACCGGTGGCTGATGTACCTTGGCCTCTGCGATCAATTCTAGCAAAATAAGTGTGTGAGAGGATCAGGGGCAGCTCCTTGAGTCTCTTCAAAAGACAGCGCTGGGGCTCAACCCTGCCTGCTTCCAATGGAGGGACTTCCCTTCATTCTAAGGTTTATTTACTATAGCTCAGTTAATAGCGCTTCTAGAAGTTAAAAAAGACCCTCAAGGCAGTTTACTAAAAGGAAAATAAAGAAAAGCAACAGTGGGGACACACCATTACAATGGAAGCATTAAAATATCACTGCAGTAGAAATCAAAAGCCAAAATAGAGTTAGAACTCTAAAACGTAAAATATGGACTAAAACCCAGCATCAATTAAAATCAGATAAACATCCATGGCTTGAAGGCAAAGTTAGGCTGCCCAAATTACTGTTTAGCTAAGGGAAAGTTACATTAATACTTGGCAATACATCCTCTCATGAAAAGGCTGTTCCATAAGGACACAGTAACCACCATGAAAATGGCCTTGGCTCTTGGGCCAGTCTGATCAATCTCATCATCTGATTTCCATGGCTGTCAGAACTGGCCCAGGTCAAGCTCCAAACGTGCTGCCACGTGTGTGTGCAGGGATGTGTATCAGTTCTCTGCAACTGGGAAAACCCTATTCCCCCCCCCCCGGCAGCAAGTTGAGGCTTAACCCAGGCTAATCCAGGCTTTGATTAAAGGCAAAATAAACACCTGCTCATGTGTAACAGGGATAAGGCGCTGTTTGGAGAGTTCCCGTAAAGTGTTCAAGTCTGTGCGCATGTCTAGTTTGCAGCCCACCAAAACCACTTTGGCACCAGGACAAAATTCTTGTGTCTCTCCCTGCCACTGTATGAAAAAGAATCAAAGAAGAATTAAATTAAAAATGGATTAATATAATTGGGCAAGGTCATTGGCTCAATAATCCCAGCCCATGCCCACATCACACCTTTTTTTATCCCACACCCATTTTTCATAAAACTGAGACACTAATGATTAGGAACCTGAGCTTTTTACAAGGAGCAACAAAATGCAACTTCTATGATTCAGATTCTCTATATCTGGTGTAGGCAACCAGCATTCCAGGCACAAAAATTGCCAATATGTGCAAAAAGGAAGACTAAGCTTTCCAAAATTAGATTACAAGTTTGAGGTAGAGACATGTTCCCTTTTCCTTGTTTTAAAGGAAAATGTATATAGCAATATTAGTTTAGGGAGTTAAATAAATTGATGGTTGGTTTCTTTTCTCACTTATGATAGCTCAATTTCCATATACTCCATATATTCTGAGAAACATTAATTTCTTATTTTTACTACATGTAATGCACAACACAACTACCGCTTAAGAAGAGAACTTCTGATACCAGTCAACATAATTCAGTACCCTCAAAGTCTCTGTTTCAGTTTTGTCTTCATGCCTTTAAAGCAAGAAACACCTCAATGTGTAGGAAAACTTTCAGAATCAGAAGTCAGCTGACCCAAAGGACAACTTCAAAGGTTTACCCTTGACTTGCAGAAACAGAAAAAAGCATGAAAATAAGCCAGTACTGACAAAGCTTATTAGCTATATTATTTCTACAGATTTCAGAATTCACTTTCTTGGCCTCAAATCTTTGTTGCTTTAATAGTTCCAGTCAGCCCTAGTTCAATAGAAATCAAGTTTATGTAAAACTGTTTACTCAAAATTCCAAATAACTTATTGTCTCTTCTGACCTTACAAGCTATGTGAAGCCAGAATTCTGTAAAAATTGAAAGCTGGTTCCTATTTTGCATTTGATAGGCTGCAATTATGAGAACTGTACATCCCAATTTATTTGCATCTTAAGCTGGGGGCAGTCTCCCATCTTTGTTTCAGTATTAAACAAAACAAAACAAAACCCTAAACTCTGCTTTTGGCATCCCAGAGCTGGAGGATCACTCCTATCCAAAATGTGCACTGGGAAACAGGAGCGTGCTCAGTGGAGAAACCCACAGAGACTCCCATCTGTTTCAAGCGCTGCATCAAAACTCCACACATTTCCATAAAAGCCCCTGGGATGGCTGCAGCAGAGACAAACTGGAGGTGAGCAGCAAAGACGATGACAAAAATCATTTGCTGAAATAAACGGAGAAAGCATACAGATTTTAGAACACTCTTTAGATTTCTAGAAATCTATGCCAGGTCACTGAATGTACTCTAGATATATATTTATGGGTTCCAGGCTCAAAAGCATCACTTCTAGGCAAGTTCACAATCCAGCATCATATTCTTTTCCTTTCCTTTTTTAAACAAAGTAAGCATTTCTTACATAGTTAAGTAACAGGATTGTGGCAGATGGGAAAAAAAATAGACAGCTAAATCTCCTGTCTTGCTAAGCACATTGGGGTTTTTGACAACCCTGGCACCAAATATTCCACAAGCAAATAGGCAAAGGACAAGGACGAGGCCTGTGATTCCTGCCATGCAACAAACACAAGCATGTTAATGCTGTGTAGGCAATTGCCTGTTTGATCCTGGGATCCTGGGATCTTCTGGATAATCACACTTGCTACAAATTGTCAAGCACGTACCAAAAAACATATGGATTGTGAGTTGCCTTTAAAAAGGCTAAGCATTGCCAAAAACACAAATTCTGTAAGGACACCCTATCAGAAACCAAAGCCTACAGTGATACGATTGTGATCTTGAAGTAGAGTTCCTCTTTGCTCTGCAAGGCAACAGGAAAACCTATTTTCCCATCCATTTTCCAAAAACGAAAGAGGCCCTCCTTAGCTTTAACATCATCACATTCCACCTCAGTAGCACCTTTTAGCAAGCTCACCTTTTTAAGGACACTGTCCAGAGTTTCAGGTCGACTAATGTCAAAACAGATGAGAACAGCATCTGAATCTGGATAGGCAAGGGGGCGGACATTGTCATAGTATGTTGAGCCTGCATGAGAAAGACATAAATTTTAACTTAATTATATGGCTAAACATGGTCTTTGTATATTGTACAGAGGACAGAGTGGTAATTTTTTTTCAGCCTGAGCATCACATTCCCATCTTAGAAGTTCCATGAGTCACATGCCAGCAAGGGCATGATTAGAAGTGTCACACCCTCTCTTTCACCATCCCTGTTTATGCTCATTCATATTCTGGTCCCCTTGCCTTCCTTCTTCCCTATTCCCTTCTCTCCCCTTTTTTCCAATTTTCTCTACATTTCATTTTATTCTACCTTCAGCTCCACCTATTTCTCTCTTCTTCCAGGCTGCTTAGTCGGGAGCAGCCAGGATTAAAAAAAACCCCACGAAACACCTTTGCGGGCATCACTTAGTCCCAGGCATCAACATATGAGTTTGCAGTTGAGAGTTCCATATTCAGGAATATGAATGCTTAGCAACCTTAGCACCACTGTGTATGTGTGTGGCCTTCAAGTCAGTTTTTGACTCCTGACAACTGCCTGGACTAGTCCCTGCAGTTTTATTGGCAAGATTTCAGAAATAGTTTGCCATTGCCTCCTTCCCAGGGCCAAGAGAGAGTGACTGGCCCAAGGTCACCCAGCTGGCTTCGTGCCTAAGGTGGGACTAGAACTCACCATCTCCTGGTTTCTAGCCTGGTGCCTTCACCACTACACCAAACTGATTCCAGCACCACTTAGTACTAGCCCTTTAAAATATTAGCAGTCTAGTTGGTAGCACATGATTGCTAAAACACCCCAGAAATAAGGCAAAAAACAGATTTTTACATACCCATCAGAATGAAAGGTAGCCCTTTTCACTTCCTGCCTACATTCTGAAGGAGGATATGAAGGAAGAAAAGGAAACTATAGAAACTGGCTTTTCTTGTCATTGAGAACCGCCAGGCTTACGACTGGGAATGAAGCTGGGGAAGCCTCTCAAAGCCTAATTTTTGCAAGACTATTTTGTACTTCTGCCTAGCTTCTCATTTCCCTTTCTACAATCAACATACTAGGAGCTTAGATAAGAGTAATTTTGTCTCTGTAAAATGGGAACAGTCAGTTTGATGGGGTTGTGAGGGTAATGATAGCAAACATTCTTAAATGCTCTGTAAATTCCAAGTGCCATGTAAGTAATTTATAATGCCTACAGACTGGATGACAGGGAAAAAGCAGCCTGTCTGTTTAGAACAGAGGGCAGATAGCCCAAAGTGGATTCACCACTTTCTTCTCAGCATACAGAAGAAGTGCTAACACATACAGCAGGGGCCATAAATTAACCAGCTGCAATTATGTATTCCACTGAGATGGGACCCAGCAACAATACACACTGTATGCTCCTCTCAGATGCAGCCTGGAGCATTAAGTGCTTTGACCTGTAAACATTTTTAATTGAGGCAAATCAAAAATGCCTCAGAAAACAGCAACGGAGTCACGATCTGGCATTGCTGCAACTTTCATCTGGGCCGACTGAACACAGTTGTGGTTCCTGGAGGGATGAAGGGAAAGATACTTGCCTACCAGTGAAGACAGGCTGGCAGGCGACCTCTTGTGGAGCAGGCTGGATGCCCCCTCCCTCGGCAGGAAGTGCCCTCTTCCATTCAGCATCTTAGCTTCCCATGTTGAGTCTCCTGGCACCTCCACTATAAACAGTGATCAGCCCTTCCTTTCTGAAGAAAGAAATCTGAGGGCCTGAGCTTGCTAAACAAATACAAACTCTGCTGTACAGTCTCAGCTACATAGGGACCCCCCTCTGCATCCCTGACTGCCATTAGCACCATGAGAATATAGGTCAGAAGGACTGGACATTACAAATTGGGCAGGGGGAGATCTCAAGGTGTCTCCTGTTTGAGGAACAGTCATGAGCTGCTCATAATAGAGCTGGTTTTGCTCTCATCACACAACCTGTCATGAAGGTCAGGCCAAGGATTTCAACTGCCAGACTCCATTTACTCCTTGACTCAATCCAATCTCTTCTTGTTTCAGGAGTTAGCTATTGTTTCTGAGCTCACGCCTCAGGGAGAAGAGCTGGATGCCACCAGCCCTCTTGGTCTTTCATAGCAACAAGCTATGCCAAGGCCTGAAGCAGCCAGAGTGCCAGAAAATGCAAAACACGCCCTGCGTCCCACCATGAAAGCTCTGACAAGTAAGGAATGAGAGGAGAGACTAAGGGTTGAGAAGGCATTTGTTCAGATTCTCCTGCTGCTTGGCAGGATTAGGCTCGCAGAGATACATCCTGACCTCAGGAAATCACTTGTGAGAGGGATGGGGTCTCTACAGATGTGCCTCTCAAGACATAGCCAGGTCCATGGTTTGATTTTTAATCCCCAAGTTCTGGAAATGTGTGGATGGGGAAAGGATACATGATTCTGTAACAGGGACAAGTAAGTGATGCAAATGTGTTGAGAACAGGTCCAATAATCACAGGGAGAGACTTAGTACAAAAACAGGCACCAAAAGAGAGTCCCAATTGCTTTTGCAGAATATAGCAAGACAAACACACCCCACTAAGAAATACCTGTTTCATGGCCTCGTTTGTCTCCCTCGTCCCTGAGGAATGTTACAAACGGATTGGGATTCAAAAGGCTATCCCCTGCCTGCAGGATGGCCCTGCAGCCTCTTTATGAAAGGGTGAGCTTAACGCACCCTTTGCAAGATGCAGGAAATGCTGGTGTGAAAGCATGACTGTTGGACTGGGAAAGTGCTGTGTCTAACAGCCTTCCACAGAACAGCCAGCACATGCTTTCTTCCTGTAGCAGTTTCAAATTGGACTTCAACCGAAGTTTTAAACAAAAGAAAATGGAAAATGAAGGAAAGCTCATATGGCAGTGGGAAGCCATTAAAGCAAAACTGAGGAGCTGGATCTGACCAAAAACTAAGCTGCTGTAGCATAATTTGATTCCTTCAAGAAAAAAGCCATATAAAGCTTAGTCAAACATAGTGTTTCTCAACCTTAGCAACTTTAAGATGTATGGACTTCAACTCCCAGAACCCCCCTGGCTGGGAAACCTGGGAGCTGAAATCCACCCAACTTAAATTTGCCAAGGTTGAGAAACACTGGCCTAAAAGATAGATGGGCCTCAAATCCTTTTCCTGTGGCACCAAGAGGCCTTGCTAGCTATAACTGCTGAATATTTATGGCACAAGGTTTTGCCATTTTGAGGCAAGAAACACACAAAAACTAGTGGAGTCAACAAAATCCCAGTGTCCAACAAAATCCCAGTCTCACAGACATTTTTCATATGGCTGTGTCCATTTTCCATCATCATTCTCCCTGCTATGATTCTTGATAACCTCAAAATCGTTAAATGAATCTTTCAGCTACTAAAAACATACCTACCTCTGGTCTAAATCAAGACAACATGCTGATTGACGCTTAGGTCTCTGAGTACCTAAAGGATTTTAAAGAGCAGGACTTGTTCCCTACCTTATCCCCAGTTCTGCTGTTTACAAGGACCAAGTGTTCTCATTTCAGTGTAACATGGTAATTTGAAGTAGGCCAACAGAGTCTGGCTTTCAGAAGAGTCCCTGGTGCTACCAATTAAGATCTATCTTTCTTACCCTAATGGATTTTGGGGATAGGGATGGATCAATTACAAATGGAAAAAAAGTAGTCAATGAGTTAAGAGGGGATGGATGACAAGTACCTAGAGAATAGCTTTTTTTTTTTCCAGCCAGTTCACATGAGCTCAATATAAGCTGAGCTCAATTCCGGGTGACTTCACGGACACGGACATGTAATTTTCCTGACAACATGGAAGGGCTTTATCACTGCCTTCTTCCAGAATGCTTTCTGATAAGCCCAAAGCTCTGGCCTTCCCTGTTGATGTCCCATCCAGGTATTAACCAGGTCCAACTTCCATAGCTTTTGAAGTTAGATGAAGTTGGGCAGGTTTAACCTGAAAGCAAAGTCCACCGTACATATTCAGTTGCATTCTTACTGTTTTGAATTTTTAGGAGGAGAAATGTACTCCTGAAAACAAATTTAAGGAGTTGAGGCCCTTTCCCTATGAACATTCACAATTAAATGAAGTGGTAAAACCACTCTATTTTACTGCACCGCTTGATTACTGTCACCCAGGTCCTTCTTCAGCCCCTCTAAACCTTTAATCCCAATTCCCAAATGAAGGGACTCCAGCCTATCTTCTACTCAACCCCACCCCCCTGGGAAAAAAAAACACTACAGGAAGAACCAATTTATCCTGCCAAGGAGAAAGCAAATGCAGGAGGCTTTTAAAAGTTTTTGTAAGACTCCCTGAAAAGCCATTAGTGAATGAAAAGGATGGATATGGCTGCTTTCCCAAAGAACTGTGGTCAATAGAGTTTGGCCTGATCCCCACCAGAAGCCTGAGAAAGAGTCCCCCATTATCTGAGAAATATAGCCAGTCTGGCTTTTGCTGAAGCAGTCAGGTAAGGGGGGGGGGGAATGACACCCCCTAAATCTAATTAAAAGGTCTAGCAAATTCACCATGTATAATTCCACCAGCGCAATCTGCTTGTGAGGAATGTGGTTAGGAAGACCAGAGCACAGTAGGGAATGAGTGATTTCAGAGAAAAAGAGAGTTCCACAAATGTTTGCAGGCCCTACGTATTCAGACTCAGATGTAATCACTGCCATGCACCAAGATCAGTATTTAGAGACAGTCATAAAGCTTTATTCAAGCGGGTCTCTATTGGCTGCAGATGAGACCAGTCAGTGATGGCAGATGTCCAACAGCACTGATGGGGCACAGCAGCTAATGGCAGGTGGAACCAGATGTCATAACAGATGGAGCCAAATATTTGGCAAAGCCAAGAATCACGACAGATGGAACAGCTTCAAAACCTGGAATGCAAATGAGAGTTCGGGTGATACTCTTGACCTATACAACCTCGGATGCACTTGTTTTTATGCTTGACCTGCAATCCCCATTGTACAGAGATCGTGAAGGTGACCAAGATAAAGATAAAAGCAATATTCTCAGCCTACTTGTATTTTCTCCAATAGCGACCAA